TCTCTCTCTCTCTCTCTCTCCCTCTCTCTCTCTCTCTCCCCCACACACACAGACACACACACCCATATCTCCCTCTTCCCCCCCCTTCTCTTCTATCTCACCTTCGCACCTCCCCCTCCCCCCAGCCCATTTTCTTTGTCTCTACTTCCCTTAAACCCCAAGGGCCCTTCTTATGCTGTTCCTCTATGGCTCACGGCTACTACCCCTGTGACTTTCTAAATAAACTTTCTATTAAATTTGGGGGGGGGAAGATGGTTCTTTTCAAAGTGTGTAAGCTGTCATTCTGTGACAACGCCGCCTTTCTCAGGCTTTCTGCGAGCACGGCTGAAATGCCAGGAAAACCACAACTCAAGAGGCCTTCCCAGATTTTGGCACAGAACACTCCAAAGTCCTGAAACGTGTCAAAAGATCCTGTTTGCAGGCTTTGTCTGGGGGAGGGGTGGGGGGGGCAAGCTTTCCAGCAGGGAGAGCTGAGGGAGGTGCAGGGACAGACAGAGGGCTGCCAAGTGCACGCAGCCTCCCCGGGGACGGAGGAGGGACAGACCAGCGAGGCCAAGAAGGTGGTGGATACTCAGCAGCTGTATTTCATCTTCACCGGGGAGGGGAGGCGTGTGCTCCCACCCAACTCCTATCGGGATATCCTTAGGTTCCTAAACTACAGTGCCCCAGGAGAATAAGCAACTGGTTTCCTTCCAGTTGGTCAGGAAGCAAAGCAAACCTTCCCAGAAGGGGCGGGGCCTGCCCTGCCCTGAGGAGGATGGAGCTGGGAGGCGGCCAGCAGGAGCTGCAGGCCGCCAGGTGACTGTAGGTGCTGTGAGACCCAAGGCTGTCAGGAGTGGCCTAGATGTTAACAACCCGGGCACCCGTTTCCTAGAAAGTCTGGTGGTGAGGACACCCCAGCTGAGTCTCTGGCTCTGGGGGGTGGGGGAGGGGCCCCCCCTCCTTGCTCCCCGAGCCTGTGAGGGGTGTGGGCAGATGGAGCGCCCAGGCCCAGACGCTGGCTGTTTCGCACCCTGGCTCCATGAGCGGGTGCGGGGCTGCTCAGAGCTGGCTGCGTGGTCCCCCTTTGCCAAGGGCTGGGGTCTGACAGCGTGGCTGGGGGTGCTGAGCACAATTCCGGCTGCTTTGTCTGTTCTGCCCTTATTTCCCTTTTGCTGAACTTACGTAAACTGGTTGTGTTTGTGGATTTCGGTAAACTGCCTGGAAAACACTCTGGAAGAAGGAAGGCCTGAAGAAATATGGCGATCGTTGTTCCAGACTTCTCCTAACATTCTACCCCGAAAAAACCAATTTCTCTACAGTGTTCGGTACTTTTAAAAGCCACAAAAGACCGATTTTTAAAAATGGCATTTGTTTAACTTGGGCTGTTTCTTATCCTAAACCTCGAAGAATAATTCGCACCTCCAGTCGCACCTCCAGTGGACTGTTTTGGAAGCCTCAGGCAGGCAGGGGGTTCCTTCCTGGTGCTATAAACCCGGCAGAGGGGAAAGCAGCAGCCACCGCCCCGAGGGCACTGGGCCCAGCCGGGCAGGAGCGCCTGGGCCTGGACCCGTGGCCTGGCCTCGCTGGTGTCTGCGCAATTTCCCACCCTGTGCACCTCCCGTGCCAAGCCCATCTCGCAGGGAGAAGAGGACATGGAAGGCACCAGCTTCCATGTGCGGGAAGCTCTTTAGCTATTTACTTCCCAAGCGTCAGGGTTGGCGGAGAGTCAGGCCAGACACGGCACGCCCCAGGCAGAGCCGGGCCACTTACCATGATCACGGAGACCCCGGTGGTGGTGCTGTTCTGTTTGGGGAGCGCGTTATTAAAGTGCTGTTTTAGTTTACCTGTCACTTCAGCCTGCATATTATTCTCCTGGGAGGCGTCATCCTACAGAAAGGAATGGAAGACAGTGGTTTGAGTTTCCAGGGCTCCCTTGTCTATTCCTTAACAGGCAGGCACACACCACCCACCACCACCACCATCTCTTCCAAATGGGCCATCTTAGCCACGAGGTCAGGGGAACCACGGCCTATGAACAATGACCCTGTTACTCTGCAGCTCTGGGCCCTCAGAGAGACCTACACCATTCACCCGGCTCCTGAGGTCCTGGCGGAGTTAATTACCCTCACGCTCTGGGAGCCTCCCGAGCGAGGGGGCGCTGACTTCCCAGGGTCACTGTTCACAGGACCGTGTTTGCCCTAAACCCACAGGCATCACCTAAGTCCAAAGAACTCTAGTCACCAGGACACACCCTCCGCCCGCCCGGCTCTGGGAAGGACTGTGCCTCACTCCCCACACACGTCGGGGCTCCTGTGGCCATGGCCATGGAGACAGAGGGATCAGGGTCTGAAACATGCTCATCTCTGGCCAAATCCTGAAAACCCTCAGCCCTAAGAGCCACAGAAGGCAAAGCCGAAAGGCTCCTTAGAGGACAGCCCAGCCAACCCCTTCCTTCTGCAGTGCTGGGAGCTGAGGCGGAGAAAGCGACAGTGGCTTGCCAGGGCCACGCACAGAGCAGGATCGAATACTCGAGGATCCTGGTGCCAACTGCTCCAGAGAAGCCCTCCAAGGAGAGAACAGGCATCTACCTGCCGCGGAAGTGGGTGCAGAGCTTCGCCTGTGCAACAGCCGTGGCGAGGAAGCATGCCGTCGGCCACGGGATGCACAGGTGAGGTCACTCCCGGGAGTGTGGGTACCTACCGACACCCAGGGGTGGCTCAGGATTTGTCCCGCAGTACACCGTGCTTCCACGTTGACCTGAAGCATCTGGCTGATTAATTCCTGGAAAGAAATGAAGAAGACAACAGAGGTGACCAAAGGGCGACAATTCCAGCGTAAATACAGAAATTGGAGTTTGCACAAAGTACCTCAAGGAACAGCCAGCACACTGCTCAGACATTTGAGCTGAAAAGCTATTATTGCCTCCACTCCCAGCGCCCGCCAGGCGGGTCCGCAGGCACAGCTGCCTCACGTGGGCAGCGTGAGAGGAAAGGCTCTCCTGGGCCCACCTTACACCCAGATGTTCTCCCCGAAGAGCTCTGGTCATTGCCACCCTCCCACAATGTAACACTGCGCTGCTATTCCTTCTGGCAATTCAGTCTGTCTCACGAGTCTACCCCCATGTTCTGATGGTGCGTAGTGCGTATTTTTTGAATAAATGAACAAATGTTTAGGGCATAAAGGAGCAAAGGAGGATAGCGGACGCCCGCTGGGAGGAGAGCCAGGCCAGCTTCCAGAACCTGGTTAACCGTGTCTGAGATGATACTATGGAATGAACTTGAGAAGAAGCGTGGTTCAAAGTCAAGAACAGACTTGGAGCTAGTTTTTTAAATATATTTTTTATTAATTTCAGAGAGGAAGGGAGAGATAGAAACATCAATGATAAGAATGAAGAGAGAGGGAGAGAGAGGGAAACATCAATGATGAGAATGAAGAGAGAAGGAGAGAAAGAGAGAAACATCAATGATGAGAATGGAGGGGGGGGAAGAGAGAGAGAAATATATATATGGGAGGGAGATATAAATCGTCTGCCTCCTACAAGCCCCACATGCGCTGAGGACCCTTGGACATGACGAGCCCACAGACAGGCCTGGAGCGTACCTTTGCGGAGTCCGTGATGTTATCCCAGTAGGGGGCTGGGAACTCGAGCTTCCCGGCCAGGATCTGGTCGAAGAGGTCTTCCTGAAGATTGTTCTCGCTGTTGGCAAAAAGGAAACGGAAGCAGAGCCAAGGTCACCACAGAGTTTCCAACAAAACACTCACGGGAAAGGTGGGGAGAGGAGTCCAGCCTCGGGCTTGGGCATGTCCCATCTCCACTGCATGTGTGATGACACACTTTTCCCTTCAGACGTGAACAGTGAGCTTGAGAACACGTCCAAAGGCCTGGGAATGAGAGAAAGGGGGGGGGGGGAGAAAAGAGGGAGAGAGAGAGAGAGGAGAGACCCACAAAGACTCAAGAAAGGTGCGGAGTGGGCACAGCTCAGCTTGGGGAGATGAAGGAGGCTTGGAGATGGATGGTGGTGGTGGTTGCACAAAACTTTGGTAATGTGCTTCATGCCACCGACCTATATACTTAAAACAGTTAAAATGATCCACTTTGTTATGTATATCTTGCCACAATAAAAAAGACAAGAAAGCCCTAGCTGGTTGGCTCAGTGGGTAGAGCGTCAGCCTGCGGACTGAAGGGTCCCAGGTTCGATTCCAGTCAAGGGCACATGCCCGGGTTGCGGGCTCCATCCCCAGTAGACGATATGCAGGAGGCAGCCAATCAATGATTCTCTCTCATCACTGATGTTTCTCTCTCTCTCCACGTCTCCCTTCCTCTCTGAAATCAATAAAGATATAGTTTAACAAAAAACAACACAAAAACAGAAAAACATGGGATCCACGAATCATATAAATCCTCATTCCAGGAACAAGAGGCACCTCAGCGTCTGCCTCACTTCATGGCTCATGGCAGTCAGAGTGGAAAAGCAGTGATGCTGAGCCAGATCTCCTTGCCCTTCCTCTCCCCTTTTCCAACCCAACAGCCAAAGATGAGTGAAGCGGCCAACACGTGAAAGAGTCATCCAGAGGTCAGAGTCGGGGTTGAACAGTCAGGACATAATTGGCTCCCCATGGGAGCCTGACGTTCAGGTAAGCTCAGTCCGGAAGGAAGAGCCCCTGGAGGATGTCAAGGAGAACCGCACAGGTTGGAACGAGCTCTCCTCGCCGCCCGGTGGGCAGCGTCCCCACCTGTGCCTCACGGTCACCACCTTAACGGTGCACTGGCTGGTGCCTAACAAATACGTGATGACTTGCGACAGAAAGTGCCGGGGAAAATGCAGCAAGCGGATGCCCCCCCCCCCCCCCCGCCCCCAGGAACCCGCTTCTGCAAAGCCACAGAGCCCCTCGCCTAATGGGCTCATCCATGGCCAGAGTGAGAACAACGTCCTTGCCTTCCAGGGTCATTACGAGGCCCCAGTAGAAAACTCAGCATGGACTGTCGGAGTCAAGATCACAACCCGGAAGTGGAGTCCAGTCCACCTGGCAGGTGTCCAGCATTTCTTAGATTCCCAACACGACGCCGCAGCCTGGTGCTCAGGGTGCTCACAGGCCCGGCCGCCAGCCCTGCCAGAGCGGGCAGGGACAGTGTGGTGTCCTTAGAAACTGGCAGTTTAGGACAGTACCCAGAGTCAGACTCTGGGGCAGTGAGATGATGTGGCTATTTCATTCTTGTTCTATGAAAAAGAGTAGCATCTTTGAGATGTGCAAATATCCATGACATCTACCCAAGCCCAGTTCAATGCACAGCTGCTGGCCACGGAGTCTGGGTCAATAGACACACTGAGAAGCTAACGTCAGCCTGAAAACCGGGCAAGGCAAAGAGATCCCCACCGCTCTCCTGAAAAGCGGTTTTCTTTGAGTGTGGACAAACTGATTCTATTTGTGTGTTGTTTTGTTTTGTTGTTTGTGTTTTTATTTAAATATATTTTTTATTGATTTCAGAGAGGAAGGGAGAGAGAGAGATAGAAACATAGATGATAAAGAATCATTGACTGGCTGCTTCCTGCACGCCCCCTACTGGGATGGAGCCTGCAACCCGGGCATGTGCCCTTGATCAGAATTGAACCCAGGACCCTTCAGTCTGCAGGCCGATGCTCTATCCACTGAGCCAAACCGGCTAGGGCATGCGTTGTTTTTTTCTGGATTTTTTTTTTTTTGAGTTTTAGAGAGAAAGGTAGAGAGAGGGAGAGGGAGAGGGAGAGAGAGAAACATCTATATGAGAAGGAGATATAAATCGCTGCCTCCTACAAGCCCCCCACTAGGGATTGAGCCTGAAACCCAGGGAATGAGCCCTTATCAGGAATCGAACCAGCAACCTTTCAGTGCACGAGATGATGCCCAATCAATTGAGCCACACTGGCCAGGGCAAAGTGTTTCTTTCCTTTTTTTTTTTTTCAAAGTGTTTCTTTCTAGATGTCTAAACCTTTTCTTTCCTTTTCACTTATTTCCTTACTGACTGCACTAGGCTCAACTGGCCTTCAAAATACGTGAAGGATGCACCTAAAACATAATGAGGTTCTACGAAAACCTTTAGAAAACCAGGGGACGCCAAGAGACAGTAGTAGAAGCTATAAAATAAATCACCTCTTTCCAGAATCGACCCCTCCATCCCTATAACTCCAGTCATCTCCCTTTTTCTTTTTTTCCTGGAATCTCCAGTGACTTATATTCTGTTAATACATATGGTTTTATTTTGTTAATAAACAGCTAAAAAGTTGGAAGTGAGTCTGCAGCATTCATTCCGGTTCTTGGCAAACATAGCCTGAGTCAACAAACAGAACCATGGAATGTCCTGGCAATTAGGATTCACCCCAAGCATCCATGCTGTGAACCGCAAGCGGTTCAGGCTTCCCTCACTAAAAGAACAGAAAGCGAAAGATCATTTATCCTTCTTAGTAGTCACAGAAGAAAAGCCACTCCGAATCTACACTGGATCTATTACCACATGTATATGCCACAATCTGGCTAAGATGCTTGGGGGCACTTATCCTAAATCAAGACAGCCCGGAATCAAGGTGCTCTACACCTAAAAATGTGCATTAAGAAAAACCTCAAAAACAACAAAAGAATTTGCGTCCATTCTCTCTCTTCAGTGATAAGTCAAGGCAACGTCAAGGTCAGGCTAGGTAACCTGAGAACGTGGGTGAGCTATTCTACACGTGATGTCCAAACACTTCATTTATGGGCTGTGCCTGTTTTTAAGAGAAACACACAAAACAAAAAAGTCTCAGTCTAGTCATGCAAATACTCCTTTTTGTCAGTGGCCCTACAACAGACTTGCTTAGGCAATAACTAAACTGTCGGTTGCCTCTAGAAAACCAATATCCTGGGGTTGAGAAGATGGAAGGAAGAATTCATGTCAACCTAAGACCAAAGCCTGGAAAAAGAAAAGTGAGACACACCAGAGCTAAAGAAGCGGAAACTGTAAACCCCACATAACAATTTCAATTAAAAGGCTTTGGGTTAAAATTACTTTGGGTATAAAACAAAGACAGTGTTTTGAAATATCTGTTTGAAGGACTTTCATTTTAGGTACAAATTTGTGCAATCTGTTTTATACCAGGGCCCTTTATCACGATTTACAGGACCGTTTCCATACTGTGCTCCCTATGCAGTTTGAATAAAGTTGGTCCTGGGATCTCTCCAGAAGGTCTCTGTGCCGTGAAGATGCTTCTGTAACAAGCACTTAACATTACAGATTCCCTCTCATCACAGCATAGGAAAGACGGGAAGCATTTTTGTAAATTTCCTAAGTAAGCTGCCTGGAGTTGTGGGACCAGCTTCTGAGTAGAATGTTTAAGGGCAGTAGCTTTACTGCCTTTGATTAGCCAGCCTTAACTCCAGATCCTACAAAGAAGCTACTGTCCACTGGGTATCAAGTCACAATAAGCACATACTTGTTTAATGTGAGCCTCACTTTTGTTAAAAAGGAAAAAAGCCAAGTCAAAGGAAAAAACTCCCAGCTGCACTGACAAGTGGAAACACTAGAGGGAGTTGTGAGTACACCTTCCTCTAACACTGATCCCTCCCTGATACCCTTTTCCGATTGGTCTCCACTTGGGTCAACCATCACGGAGGGGAATTCCGCTGTAACTGGCCCCAAGAACAACAGCTAGCATAACACACTACCCTCTACGCTTTACTAGTTCCCAAAACAGGTCATTGCTGAAACCAGCCAGGGCACCGCGTGATTGAAAAAATGGCCACAAATGATTCCCTTCCCTGTAAGTATGGGTAATCTTCTCCCACACTTACTCGAGGCTTGGCTGTTTGACTTCAGTTGGTCAGTAGGACATCAATCAGCAAATGTGAAGCAAGCGGAGACTTGAAAAGCACTCAGGCCCTCTTCTAGCTGCTTTGGGGAGTCCTGAATCCACTGTCATGGGAAACCCAGGCTAGCCTACTGGAGGCTGAAAGGCACACGGCCAGGTCATATCGGATGTCCCAGCTGACGCTGAGTCAACTGGCAGGCACGTGAGTGAGGCCACACTGGATCATCAAACCCCCACTGAGCCAACCCAGACCAGACCGGAAGACCCGCCCAACTGATGCACAGAACTAACTGACAGCCCAAACTGTTGGAGTCATTTGTTATTCAGAAAATGTTAAGTGATGTGTGCAATAATCCTACAGTCTGTGCAACCCACCTGGGCAACGTCTTTGATGGAAGACCACGATACCGATGGCCAGGCAGAAGGCTTTCCACTTGTAGAAACCGAACCCACGCCACAAGGACAAGGCCCCACTCACTTCTGCGCCTTTCACTAAATCAGTGGTTCTCAACCTGTGGGTTGCGACCCCTTTGGCGGTCGAACAACCCTTTCACAGGGGTCGCCTAAGACCACCCTACATATCAGATATTTACATTACGATTCATAACAGTAGCAACATTACAGTTATGAAGTAGCAACGAAAATAATTTTATGGTTGGGTCACAACATGAGGAACTGTATTTAAAGGGCCAGAAGATTGAGAACCACTGCAAATGTTTGTGATTCCCAATCCTCAGCTGAGCATACCCCAATGTCCTGTTTACTTTTCTTGATCCATATTCTTGTGATGTGTGTCTTTACCCCTGAGACTCTCAAAAGGAGAGGCTGACACCTCTGTGTCACTCCCGCGTTCGCGGTAGTGTCCGTAAAAACGGTCAACTCAGCTGAACATCGATCATTTCAAAAAGATAAAACTTTCAACTTTTCTGGATGTTTGGAATCTTTCAGAATACGATGGTTGGGTGTGGTGATGAAACAAGCCTGTTTTTCACCTTCAGACCTAACATCACACTGTCAATACCATGACCTCAGAGGATACGTTGTGTTCCCCATTTAATTCCTGACATTTAGAATAGCTCGTAGCACACAGCAGCTACACAACAAACAGTTGCAAAGTGAGCAAAAGAAGAGATTAAAATGAAAAGAGCACTCAAGAAAGCCCAGAAGAAAATCAAATGTGCCTCAATAGGTGAACTTCTGCTTCAAAGTCACCCCAAAGAAGGAGACGGAACTGATCAAAAGAAGTGCTGAGGGCGAAGCCCCATGTCAAACCTGTGCACACTCACGGCTGAGTAACAAGTGTGCCGTGCCCTCCGTGACACACCCTGACCCGGGTGTGCCCCCTCTGCTCCCAGGGGCATGGTTACCAAGGACGCAATCCCTTTGTTCCCAGGCCTATTTATGCAGAAAGTGTCTGTAATTCTACTCCACTGAGTATTATGTGAGTGGATACAATGAATGTTATAAGTTCTCTTTTCGGTAAGAACTAGGTTGAATGCTTTGGAAAATGAGTGGTCAAAAAACTGTTCCCAAGTTAAGTAGGAGAGGCAACTATTAAAAACTGGAAAAAGGCTTTCCTAGAAGGATCAGATTGCTTCGCAGGATCTATAAATATCACTCCCCTTGAAAATAACTGAGAATGGAAACTGCAGACACTGGATGGTGGGTGTGGTTTATAGAAGAATGACCATGAGAAACTCATACACAGCAAAGGCCCTGGCCTCACATCAGAGGTGTGGTCGAGGGATATACATGAACAGGTTGTAGAATAAGATGAAGAGTGAAAGGCAGGTCTCTATACGTTTTAGCTGGCATTGTCACTGACCAGCTCTGGTCCTGACTGCCAGGAGTAACATCTGCTTCCTGATCCAGGGAGAGGGTTTACTACTACAATTCAAATGCTGTGCTGACCTTCGGAACGGCGGGAATCCGCAGAGAAGTATGTACGTGATCACGCCTGCTGCCCAAATGTCCACCTTCAGGCCATAGCTAGAGAAACAAAGTGGGTGTAAGGGGGAGAAATAACGATATTACCCCCAGAACCCTCCACATTACCCGAGTACTTGCCTTTGTGGAAAAAAAAAGGGGGGGGCCTTTTCAGTATCAAACTGTCCATTTCACGTAGAGGAATTCACTGCCCTTTGGGCAAAGGCATCTGCTCTTGTCCCAGTCCTAATTACAACCATGGGGACACTGCCATGTTCCCATGACCAGCCTGGGAACAAAAGTCCCGGCCCAGGCCCAGAGCTCTTAAACGTAGAAGCACACACTTAAGTTCCCAAGATCAGAGTCATGGTGCAGGTGAGCCGTCTCTCCCTCCCTCCACCTTCTCGGGAGTCACGTGAAAGCACAGGAGGATGCCCAAAACATACCTTTCCCCACCAAAGAAGGGCACAACCCAAACCACCAGGGGTCTCACCCGGTTTCAGCAATGATTTCTGGAGCCACGTAGGTTGGTGTGCCGCAGACAGTGTACAAGGGCCCTTCCACCACGGTGGCCAGCCCGAAGTCGCCCAGTTTCAAAGACTTGGTTCCATCGGGATACTCGCACACCTGGAACAGAAACCGGCCGATTGTCAGACGCTGTTTTTGGTCTCCATGATTCCAAGAGGGGCTTTGGAATGAGGTAGAAATGGCAGATATGTTGACCAATAAACTCAAAAGAAATCTCTGCTTGTTATAGTTAACACTATGATTTATCTTTGATGCTTTGAAGCCCGAAGGTTGCTCTGGAGAGATTTTTGCATGATTGTGCGGAATTTGGAAAAGACATTTCCTACCTCTGCAAAAAAAGTGCCTTCCCTAGGAGCTTACTGAGCACGTGTGCATGCCCACACAGCAGCGAGGGATGCTCGCCTGACATGGCGCGAGAGGCCTCTCGGCCTGGAAGCGAAAGCCTGGCCTGCACTGCGTGCTTCCCAGAGTGAGGTGCTCGAGAGTCTCGGAAACACGTTCATTAAGTGCCACGAAAGCACCAGGTGTTCTCTAAGAGACTTGCATGTTTCGTGTAGAAAATAAAATTAGGACTTGTTCTCTGCAGAGTCAATGGTGAATATAAACATTACGTGGGGGGAACCTTGGAAGTTTAGACAGAAAATGAACGTTGGAATCAGACAGCTTGAACGTGAATAACCAAGCACTCCCCTCATTTTCTGGCTGTGTGACCTTCGAAGGTCACTCACCCTCTCTGAGCACATCCCCTCACCTGTGAAATAGGATGATACGGGATTGGTGTGAAGATAAAATGAGAGCAGGCTTGGATCAGGGCTCTGTGAGTGTTCCTTCCCTCACCTGGAAGGTCTGGCTGGTTAGATCAGAAACCATGATATTGGAAAAGTTCCCAAGATCAGAGTCATGGTGCAGGTAAGCAGTCTCTCCCTCCCTCCACAATGTTGCTGAGATGTCAATGTTTTTGCTTAAATTGAAGCGACTTTTCTAGACAGCCTTTCAGCAACGTGTACATTTCTTAACATCATTTATAACCTCTGATCCAGGAAACCTACTTCTCAGAACCAACCCTGAGGGAACAGAGATGGACCCTGAGGTTATATACCAGGGCATCAATCTCAGACTTTTATCTATCTTTTAAAAAACTGGAAGCAACATAAGTCATGGAACATCCCTGCAATAAAATATTATACTGTCACTAATAAGCAGATTTCAATAAGTATTAATCATATGGACACACTCACCATATTACATAACATAAAAAGGAATATTCAACATTATATATATATATGTAATATGACACACCAAGATGCTTAGTGTGTCCCTAGGTGTTAACATTGAGGATTACTTGAACTTCCTCCCTTTTACTTTTCAGTAGTTTCCAATGAACATGCATTGGTTCCATAATTAGGAAAAAATTTATATATTTAGGCAGATTTTCCTTATGGGACCACAGTCTGGAGGTTACATCCTTACATGGATGGATCTGGAAGCAATCCAGTGTGTGTGGGAGCATAATACAGGTCTGACTATAACCTTTAACATGCTCTCTGTCTCTTGGATATCCATTTTGAAAAGCCTGAATTTCAGAGACTATCTGCAAAGGCCTCAACTGGACTTATGTAACATCTTCCTCTATTTTTATACTTTATCGTTTGCTTTCCCTCAGATTTTACTATAAGCTGGCCAGGTTTTCACCTAAATTACTACTTATGAGAGGAGTGAAACATTTAGAAAATTATGTTTTTTCAAGATAAGCATGTTAACAACATCATCCATTAGTCCGATGCTTAAAGAGGCGAGTGATTTATACAGCCATCAATAAAACACATCAAGGGCCTCGGGCGTCCCCATCTTAATGACCCCCTAATCTTTACAGGCATTTCATCAAGGGTGACCCCGAAATGCCGTCTTCCCATGGGATGTCCTCCTGAGTTTGAGAAGACTGTTTTTCTCCCGGTTTTGATAACTGCCTCCACGTTGATGTCCTGCACACACCCAGCACACAACTTTAGGACGTTCAAGTTTCACAGGAACCCCTCACAGACATTCATCATCCCGAGTCACCCCGACTCAGCAGGACCGTATTCAAAGCTCCTAATGGTTTAGCCTGAAGCAACAGAACCCAGGCTCAGTCCTGCTGCCGTCCTAGGCCGCCCGTCCATCCATTATGCCTAATGTAAACACGGGCGAGAACACGCGGGTGGAGGAAATTACAGCCAGAATTTATGACGCATTTACCAAAACCCAGACGTCAGGAAGAAATTCCCGAAGTAATGGCAGTGATAAGAACATTATAAGCAACATTATAATTCTAAATGCATCATGAGAGTTTTTTTTAAAAAAAAAACCAGTTTCATTAATGTCATTGTTATTTTGTTTTTATAACTTTAAAATACACTCATTACCTACGCTTTTGAAAAATAGTGTTTATTTTAGACATTCAATTTAGGGACGCCTCGGGGTCCTCCAGGGTTGTTGTCAGACCCTCAGGAGTCCCAGAAGCCCCGTTTTTCACAGCCCCTGTAAGGAATTCCCAGTCAGTCAGAGGCGGGAACAGAACGAGAAAGGGGCTGAACAGTCCATAACCGCCGAGTTATGTCTGAGCAAGTGGTGCTTCTTGGCCAAACATCAAAAGGGAAGCATCATCAGGGGCAGACGAGCCTGAAATAATAATATTTTATCTGAGTCATCTCTCCCCAGGGCTAGACACAGAGGCAAGTGTGTGGAAGACAATTTGAGTACATTTCAAATCTCCGCTGGAGACTCTCTTCAGAGCAGGAAACATCTATCTATCATCAGTCTATATGCACGCACACCTGCACACGCACACACACCTACAGCACTGCTTTAAGGGGCTGCTTCGCACACCCCCTCCCGGGGTCTGCATGACCCGTGTGAGCTGGAGAAGGAGGCGCGTGCCGGGCTCCAAGCGTTCTGTCTGGCAGAGCTCAGTTCTCCCCAGGCACCCGCATTCTCGCGGGGAGATGTCTATATTCTCCCTGGACTGCCGTCACCACCCGCGGGACCATTAGGAAGAGAATCGTTGCCTCCATTCCACAGATGAGGAAACTGAGGCACAGAGCACTCTCGTGAGCAGTGGACAGCCCAGTGCACATTATCCAACCAATACCCCTGCCGTCCGGGGGCAGTCTGCTCTGAGGAGCCACAGGCCTGGCAGAGCCCCCGACCACACGCAGGGATTCGGGGTGCATTCAGACAGACCCCGCTGTGCGCGCCGTGGCCCCGCGGCGTTCCTGTGCCCGGCCACGGGCGGAGACGCCTGTGAAAAGTGGTTCTCGGAATGCAAACATAAAAAATGTGAGGAATGCAGATCCCACATACGCAGCGAACGCCGCATGTTCTCTAAATAAAATGTCAACGGGATGATTTAGAAGGACTTCAAATGTGAGAAACCAGCCCTCTGCTCTCCCGTCCCCGGAACTCCTGGAGAGCGGGATTTATCACGGCCGCACAGTTAACTCTGACAGGGCACCGCCAGGCCGTAACTCACCCCGGCAAGGGCCACCGCTGCGCTCCCTGACACGGCGGCCACGCACCCCCGAAGGCAGGGTTTAAATTACGGCACCGGCACCGCTGCCAGAGAAGGGGATGCAAATCAGATGTCTGCTCTGGTGTTTAAAAAACGGAACTTGGTCCTGGAGCAGGAAGAGGCTGGCAGTCACTGTTTACTTTCAGCGCCACTGGCACGTCTCCCCCTCGGCCGGTGCCCACCTGCAGGCTGAATCTAGACTCTGCTAAGGGGTCTGGTTGGGATTTCGAAGGCACGTGTGTTACTTAGACATGCGCAGCCGGGGGTGTCCGGAGGCTGGCCCATGGCCCTTCTTCCCATTTCACACACTGGCTTCTTCCAGACATTGGTTTTGTCACCTTTTCTTTCTCCTCCCTTCTGAGTAGCACAAGGGGGCTGGTGCAGGTGGAGAAGGGCGGACACACAGCCGGGCCCGGCTACACGGATGAGGAGCTTGATTCCAATGTCCTGGTGACATTCTGGGGCACGCCGTGTGAGACGTCACTCCCCGTCACAGCATCTTCCCCTGATGCATAACACGCTTTCACATTCTGAGGCTGTCCATGCATTAAAAATTGCGAGCGGAAAAGAGAAGAAAGGAGAGGCGAGTGTGGACTTGCCAGAAGCCAGTCCATCCTTGCTGCTTGACACAGTCGCTGCAGGGAAGAAATATCTGCACAGCATATGTTTCAAGGGACCTGGCGTATATGGCATACTGTTCTTAATATGTTTGCTCCCCTTCTTGGCGCTATGTGTTTTAACCAAGGTCACCTCTCCAAGAAAGGTTGTTTCCCCAGGTAGGGATTTTTCCCTGAAGTTAGGGAGGGAATAAAACCCCTTAACTAAGTGCCAGGTGGGTAGTTAATCACTTTAACTACGAACAATGACACTTAAGCTACATAAGATTTACTCCCTGGAATGGAGATAAGAAACGCCCTAACCTTTGGAATAGAATGGATAGGATTAAAATCAACTGGTATAAATACAGATGTAACAAGACAATAAAACACAGAACCTGGCTAGAGATCCTGGCTAGAACCTGGCTAGAGAACCTGGCTAGGCTGCTGACCAACTGAACACTGTCTCCGTGTCATTCCTTCTTCACTGACTCCGCCCACACCTTTGGGAACCCCTGGACCTGCTGGGGTTGGACCCCAACATGGACTCAGAGAGCTGGGAGATGGACACGCAGGTCCACAGGAAGGTCACTAATGCCTCGGGCAGCCTCCTGCGGGGCCCAGAGCTGCGGTTGGGGCTGGCTCCACAGCAGCCAATGGTTCGCGGGGACCTGTGGCTCCTCTGTCCACAGGGAACAACGTCGATAACTGCAGCACTGGGGTGAAGGGGCACGAACAGCTGGGAGAGATCAAGGGGGTGTCCTCACTAACACCACAGCATCTGTGTCTGGCCACACTCGGGGACAGTCCTGTCATCTCTGCCGGCAAAGCCCTTAGGCAAACCCAGCCAGGCAGCGGAGGGAGCCTAGGCCTGCCAGACACCGCAAGGCCACCGTGGGCAAGACGCCTGTTTGGAGGAGAGCACACCACGTCCTCGCCTCTATCCCGAGGCCCAGTTACAATGCGGCCTCCGTTCCTCCTCCAAGTTCCTAAAACTGAATCACACTGCATCTGATTTTACCGAGCAAGGATATTTATTTCCCTAATAGGAACATACAGAGATAAAACGCAGTTCCCTCCCGGCAGGAATCAGTCAGAAAAAAAAGTCCCACGCTTTCAAATGGACGTTCAGAAGTCATCAAATGGTGTTACCCTACGGGGAAAACACACTGTGGATGGGCAGGAAGCCCCCAGCAGGGCCTCAACGCCTGTCCATCCATGCACATTCCTTCCAGCGATTATTTGCGTGGGGCCAGCATGACTCGTGCTGTAAAGATGCGTGCCCCAGCGCCAGCAGCTAGCTAGCCGAGTGACCGTCAGCCAATCTCCAAACATTTCCTGCACATCCACTGTTTAAGGCCTGGAGACACTAGGATAACTGGGACACAAACCTTGCCCCCACTGGTGCTTATGATCCAGAATAGGAGACAGACAGAGTAAATGATAAAATCGATGTGTCATGGCAAGTGCAGCAGAAACCAGAGGTGGCCACCACGGACTCTGCCCAGGGCTGAGGCCAAAGAAGTCGTGCCTTTGGCTCCGTCTCACAAGATCAGTGTGTTTGTCACACTGCTGGGAGACAGGGCAGCGCAGAAACCAGTATGGACATAAGCAGGTGAGGTATACTAGTAATGCTATTGATAGTCAGTTTTAACTAACTACAGGGGATGGGGAAGCCATTGAGATTAACATGATCTAGAACACTCAGGTAACCTCACCTCCCAAACAGTAATGATGATGACAGCTCAGCCCTGAAAGGCAGAACTAGATAAACCAACAGTCTTGTGTATGTTTGTGTGCGTGCATGCACAACTCCCCAGTCAGCCTTTCTAAAATTCCTCTGCAATGTAGACACAAGGATGGGCCCCACCAGCAAGCTTTGCTTAGTTAGTAAAGCCATCAGGAAGGTGTGTTAAAGGTGGCTTGATGGGTGGGGAAGGGCTGGTAACAGAAAGGAGGCTGGAAAGGTAAATTGGGACCAGATTAAGAAGCACTTTGAGCCCAGCCAGTGTGGCTCAGTGGTTGAGCATGGACCTATGAACCAGGAGGTCACAGTTAGATTCCCATTTAGGGTGCATGCCCAGGTTGTGGGCTCAATTGCCAGTAGGGGGCGTGCAGGAGGCAGCCACTCAATGATTCGCTCTCATCACTGATGTTTCTCTCTCTCTCTCCCTCTCCCTCTCTGAAATCAATAAATTTTTTTTTTAAGAAGCACCTTGAGTGCAACAGTACACAGTTCTGTGAACAATGGGGCAAATGAGACTTTTCAGCAAGAAAAATTAGCATCTCTGGGTCTCAATTTCTGTATTTGTGAAGCTGAGATGAATGGACTAGATGTTCAAAGTTCTGTCCAGCCCATAAACGAACCCTCATGCTCTCATTCTGTTTACCATTTATTCTTCAGACTATTTTGCCTCAAAAGAATTTTCCTGTTCACCTTTCTTCAGTCAGTACTGTCAACAAAACGGAAGTGAAAGCACATTTTCTAACATCTGGTAAACCATACATGCATAAATGCAGTTCAGTTGAAGAAATTCACTAATATTTGGCGGTGACTGACTTGCGTCAGACTGATTTTTGAAATTTAAACTCTCTCAGCCCCTTGTTGCAGGACTGGTCATAGACTCTCAAATGTCACTGTTTGCATGTGATTATGGTCATTTTAAAGGAAGAGAAACATGAGGTGGGACAGAAAAAGCAGCAGTGACGTACCAAGAGGTTCTCCGGCTTGATGTCCCTGTGCACAATGCTGAGGCTGTGCAGGTACCTGAGGGCGTTGGCCAGGTTGTACACCATGGCACTGCCATCCCGCTCGGTGTACTTGGTTGAAGAGGTAATTGCATCAAAGAGGTCTCCACCCTGAAGGACACGAAAGAACATATCAAAATATCAACAGTGGCAATCCCATGGAGGTAACAAAGAAGGTCATCGGCCTGGAGTTGATTTTTTAAAATGCTACGAAAATGGATGATTACGAATAAAGCTTCAAGGTAGCAAAACATGTTTCTGATTAGGTCCTTCAAGAATACAGTTAAGTCTCGGGATCTGGCGCCAGGGAAACCTCCTGAAAGCTCTCCCCCTCTTACCTTGACCAATTCCATCACCAGGAAGAGCTCGGTGGCCGTTTCCATCTCCTCCACCAGCATGATGATGTTCGGGTGTTTCACTTGGCGCAGGATGGACACTTCATTCTCGATCAGGTGCTCCTGTCAAACGGGGGGGAGGTGACCAGATGGCCAGGACCCCTGCCTGTCTGTGCCCCAAAGGACACCGGTTTGTAGGGCTGGTGCTCAGGGAAGCAGCTCCCTTGGTGCAGAGACACCAAACCCTGCCCTCACCGGTTCCCACTGGGACAGGTCAGTGTGACATCTCAGGGTCACTAACAGAAAGAACAGGCACCCTTCAAAACAGCCCTCAGCAGGGCTCAGTGGGGCCGCCCTGACACGTAACAACAGACGGCCTTCCTGTCTCTTCACGGCCTCCAACGCCTCAGGGGGCTATGGTGCTATGAAAGTGCAGGCACGCGGCTCTGTGCTTGTACTCCAGCGGGAGCCATGTTTTAATCCCCGTTCCCTGGGAAACAACAACTGGGCATAAGAGGAAACGGCATGCGTGTGGCACAGGACGTGGGCATTAGCATTTCGTTCACCAGAGGATGCTCCTGATGATCCTGTATTTCAGAAACCAGGAAACATACATGCTCACGGGGACCATGATTCTGATTTTAACCCTACTCACTTCTCCTCTGAAAATACCACCCGATTGTCAGTCCTGGGGAGTCATGTATTGGGATCTGCCCTGCATCAAGTTTACTCCCGGCATGAAGGAGTTATTCTCCACACACAACGATGGGTCATGAGCAACTGCTGCTCTGTTTTATCATGAGACATGAAACCTCTCAATAACGTCACACCCGTCGGTCCTCGTTAACTGTAATAATGAATTATTTTGAATTTGGGGTACACTCTGTGAAATTAACAAGCTGCCCTCTGACACATTCTATAGACACCATTTGCTACCTAAATACACACGTGTATATATCCATGTGTGTGTGTCCCTTACACTGTCCCTTGTGCCTCTGCTATCATGAATTCCAGAACTAAATTTAGTGTTCCACTGCAGTGGGAACACAATGATCTTATCTCTAGTTCAGGATACTATTTATGGTTCCTCTCTTATCTTCATGCATCCATGTGAACGTGTGTTCTCACCGTAAGCCATCTCCAATGCTTTTCTGACAATAGTTGGAAGTATAAACGTTAACAATAAGTAATACACAGAGAAAGTCCGTTGCAAGCGCCGGCACAGGGTGGGCTGTGTTTGTTGAGCGTGGAATGCCCTGTGCTTGTCCAGGTAAACACTGGCCAATGACGGTGCAAATGCTAACCGGAGGCAGGGGAGAGAAAAGAACCAGTGCTGACCAGGAGTCCAGTCACTGTTTGTCCATCGCTGTGCAGGGTGCTTGTGCAACATCCTCACCTTTCATCCTTTAGGGCAACATCCTCACCTTTCATCCTTTAGGACAGTGCTTTGAGGCAGAATGCAAACCCCAGGATCCTGACCTCCAAGCCCACACTTCCTGTGCTACACAACATCACCTTTCAAAGGAGATTGCTTTGGTCAACGTCAAGTTGGAATTTTTCAAAAATGAAATGATAGCTGCACAGCTGTATACATTTAATTGCTCGAAAAGACAAGAACGGGAGGCTGCATCATAGTGAACTGGGCAGCGAGGCAGACCCACACAGGCGTGGAGCAGGAAGGAACACCTATGCCCTTAGCGAGCAGGGCTGGGAGGGCCGCATTCCATGCCCAGCGCTGGGAGCAGAGTGAGCTGCACTTCCCTGAACACAAAGGGGAGAAAATGAATCCATTCCCCTCTCTGTGAAGCCAGGACAGCAGTCGCTACCACTGTAGTAAAAGAGGCATTTTTTTAAAAAGCTAAATGGACGTATCACTTCAGTTCTTCCTCCTCCCCATTTCTGCCAAAGTTGGAAGAGTCTGTAAATTTACCTCTGCTTGTGATGCTCATTGAGAGTGATGTATATAAAATAATCCCCATCACCAGGATCCAGGATCTCTCAAATTGGAGTTAAAATAAGATGTCTACCGCCTAAGGCAGCGGTTCTCAACCTGTGGGTTCCGACCCTTTTGGCGGTCGAACGACCCTTCCACAGGGGTCGCCTAAGACCATCCTGCATATCAGATATGTACATGACGATTCATAACAGTAGCAACATTACAGTTATGAAGTAGCAACGAAAATAATTTTATGGTTGGGTCACAACATGAGGAACTGTATTTAAAGGGCCAGAAGGTTGAGAACCACTGGCCTAAGGAGACTGCACCTCCCCAAAGTTGTCTTTTCCCATGAAAAGCGTAACAGAAAGGCTCCTGGGACGCCATGGATGACTTTCCCCTGGACTGCGGGCAGTGCTGCATTTTACATTGTGCAGCAATATTTTCTCTACCACTACATGTTACCTCAGATCACTGTCCGACTTGACAGTGGCTGGTATTGTAAGCACAGAGCAAGTGCAGTTGTTGGGATGTGGGAGCCGCTAGCCTTTGTTCCCAGCCTCTGACTACGCCTGTGTGGTTGTCTATGAATCCACTTTTAAAGGAATCACCATCAGAAGCAAAACAAAAAGCAATGCATGAAAATCTCTACAAATATTACCTTCCCATTTTTCATGCAACCCAAAAGGTATCTTCGCTTCTAATACCTAAAAATACTCTCAAGATTTCATTTTCCAGGAAAAGATTTCTAAATACAATAGGAACACCACTTTTGCCTTGAACTGCACTGAACTAAACATTGTTCGACCATCTACCATTATTTATGCTAAGTGATTCATGGTTCTGACTCCGAATAATTTACATATGAATCATTTCCTGGCAGTGTGCCCTGGATCTGTGTGAGAGTAAATGACAAGGAAAACTGCTAACTTGGCAAAGGATACCGCCTTATCTCTGTCTGTGGTGGTTTTGAACATACAAAAGAGACAGAGATAGAGATAGATAGAGAGACAAAAGGAGGAGGAGGAGCAGGAGGGAAGAAGGGAGGGAGGGAGATTAGGGAATAAACAACTCTCCCAAACCAAACTAATCATTCTGTCTCCACACTGCCCAGCCCCGTAAAACACACACAGTCCTTTCCTCCAGTGCCCTGTCTCACTGAAGGAACCTGGCTGCCCAGAGCAGACAGGAATCTCGCCCCCCCCCACCCAACCTCCCTCCCTCACCCTCAGTACAGCTCCTGCATCACCAGGTCTACCTTCTCAACAGCCACTGAATCCATCCACTCACTTCCATCCCCAGTGCCATCTCTCACCGAGACCTCTAGGCGTTTGCACAGGTACTTTCTCCGTCTGGAACGTTCTTTCCCCACATCTTGGTGAATTCCTGTTTATTCCTCAAGACCAGCTTAGATCTCACCTCCTCTATACAACCTCCCTGCCGGGTGAGGTACGCCTCTTAGCTGCTCTCATGGCCCTCTGTGCTGGCTCCCTGCACAGCTCCTACTGGCTGTCCTGGAGACTTTTGTTTATCTTGCTCTCCAGTAACCGGCCCAGTGAGTCCTGAAGTGCTTGAGTGAGGAAACACACTGCGCATGGCTCCTGACGGGCACTGGCTTCACAGCTGGTATCGCTGTGCCCTCTGAGTATCGCTGAGGAGGATGCAGTCAGAGAGAGAAATGTTTAAATCACCGTCTGTGATTTCTGTGGTGGAGCTATGTAGTGGATTGAATAATCGTCCCCCAAAGAGAGCAAGCCCCTGAATTTGTAAATGGTGCCTTATTTGGGGGGTGAGGGGGAAGATCTACAGATGTGATTACGGTTTCTGGAAGAGATTGCTCTGGATTAGCTGGGTGCCCTCGCAGCTGGCCTTAGGAGATACGAGGCAGAGGGAGGTTTCCCACCCCGAAGAGGAAAAATGAACACGCAGGAGAGTGAGTGAGGTGAAGATGGAGGCCGAGGTGGGAGTGATGTGGCCAGAAGCCAAGGACCACCATCCGCCACCAGAAGCCATTCAGTCAGAGGCGAGGAGCAGGTTCCCCCCAGGGCCTCCCGAGCTGTGAGAGAATAAATTTCTGTTGTGGTAAGCCACCGAGTTTGTGGTAATTTATTCCAACATCCTTAGGAAACGACTACAACATTCATTTGGATTTATGTCCTGCTTGGGCTCATAACACGTGGATAATGAATGCAAGGCTGTGGGAAGAGAAGGAAGGACCACTTCTAAGCACCATAACAGAAAGCTCAGAGCTTCAGACACTGTGGGAATTCAATAAATATTCATTTAGAATGAATATTATTTAGCATATTAGGCAAGGAAGAATTCTAAAATTTACAAACACCACAGCCTTCTCAACAGCCTCCATAAATCTGGCCCCAAAGCTGATCTTGCAATGCTCTCCTACTTAGAAGGTCCGAGCATGCTCTCTGTGCCTGGGGCCTTTGCTCAGGCTGTGGCCACAGGCAGGAGTTCCTTTCATTGCTTCCTGCTGAAAGCCTGCCCCCTGCTGGGAGCCCAGCGCAAATGCTTTTTGCTCTATGGTGTCTTCTCTGATCATTTATTTCTCTCTCATATGCTTCCCCACAAACTCTCCAGTTTGCAGAACTGGTATTTGTTTATATACTAAAATACTATACTTGCAGCACAGTATCTTGCACACGTCAAATTTTAGGTAAACTTACCTAATAATGCTCATGCATATTGCAGACAAGCAAACCGAAGAGCAGAGAGGTTAACAACTCCCCCACCCTCCCCCCACCACGTTCTTATTACACGAACAATTGAATAAATTTAACTTGCAGAGGGAGCACGATAAATTGACCAGTGTATAGGCTGAGTAACCAACTAGCCCAAAATTCCTACCCCTGCTCTGCCTCTGCTATCTAACCTGAAACTCTGTCTCCTTTTATGTAAAACTGGTACATCTGCCAGCGTCATTAAAGCAGGAAGGCCAGCTTGTTAGTCTGAAAGGAGGGTAGAGTCTCAGACTTCTCACACCTTTTGTGTGGTTCTGGGTTTTATTTTGAAATATGCATCTCCTAGAGAAGAGATTAAAATTTAACATTTTAATCTTTATTGGTGACAGTATTACACATGTCCCCCTTTACCTCCACTGATCTTTTCTAGTATATTTTTTGATAGTGAGCGCCAAGATCAAAACAATGTACTGTTTTAGGATTAAGGTTTCTGAAAAATGGCAGGGAAAAAAAAAAGCTTCCTAGTGTTTCCTGCACTAGTTTCACAGGTTTATTCCTGTTGTGGACTTGGCAAATCCTCACTTCAATGCCTTCAGCACAATCATCATCTTACCGCAGTTTCTCAGTTTCTTTTACAAAGCAGTTATGTATACTGTACCTTTCCACAACATTTGGCTTTGTCTATAATCTTCAGGGCAAACTCCTTTCCGGTGGACCTACGGAATAATCAGAGGAAGGCCATTTAAAGCCGTCAGTCATAGATAAGATAGCACCATCCTCCCTGATTTCCTCTACAGCACAGACTCAGGGAGGAAAGACTGCTTCCTCTGCTCATCAGAGACCGTGCGGCCTGGGGTCAGGGAGAAAGGTACCCCCAAAAAGAAAAGAAAAAAATCCAAAGCCACACTGTCTATCTCCTTTTTTTACATATTATTATGAAATAATTTACATATTAAAAGTACTTAAACTCTGCTGTATCAGACATGGACAAAACACTGTTTTTTCTAATACTTAAACCTCAAGATAGTTCCCTTAGAAGGCAGAATAAAATTAGGAAAAATGATTCAAAGTAGCTGAAAACTTCCTATTACCAATATGTCTTCACATTAATCTATTAGTCCATCATTCAAACCTCAAAAGTCCCCAGACTTTCAATATCTATTTCTCAGCTCCAACTCCATCTGGTGCCATCTTCGCCACACCTCTGGATGCCCGCTTCTGGCACCAGAGAGATCATTTACGGGGACGCACAACTCTTGTTGTTATTTAACATTTAATCACCTTTCGCATATTTTAGTCTGAACCTGCCAAAAAATATCTTTGCATATAGGAAAACAGTTCAACAACGAACGTTTCAGAAGTTCTGGAATATAGCAGATCTGACCAGTGGTCACACTACCACCAGTCAGGCCACCTTGGAAAAATAACTTTTAAGTTGCTTTCCTATAACATAAACCAAACCCTGCCTCGGATTTCTAATGGCACCACCATAAGGAGGTGCAGCAGAATGGAAAAGCAGTGGTTGCCAGAGCTTCCTGAAAATTCCCCACAAAGAGTAAAAATACTACTGAGAACAGGCAGGGAAGTGGCAGGCATATAAACACAGAGACTAATCTGAGTCTTTTCCGGCTTTGATGTTGTTTACGAAAGGCCTGCAATTTGAACGAATGCTTTTCTTACCACTTGAGAATTCAGGACCTTAAAATAAAGCTGGACAAACAAAGATATAATTCTAATATAGGCAACAGTCTGGACAATGATCTTCAGTGGAGTCAGAGCTCATGCATCCTGAACTACTGGTACATGCAGTATTAACTGAGAGGGTCACTGTAGGGACTAAACGAGTTACACCACTGAGAACCGTGCCTAGTACAGGGAAATGCTCCATGAGATTTTTAAAGAATACATCTTATTCTTTCCCAGTGTTCTCTGGCTCGTGGATGAGACATGATATATTGCTCAATCAAAATCAAAGCAGGTGTACGTATACTCTATCTGAATACATGTTTTTTCCCTGAAACACTGCTTGTGGGCATGCAAAACAGCTGGGGCCAAAGTTAGGCTCTTTCATAAAATCTTGTGTTCACTCCGGTTAAGAATAAACTCCAAGGAGAAATGTATGGGTAGGTGGAAAAATGATTATCCTCACCATCCACTCACCTGTCCATGCACTCTTTGACTACTGCAAAATTGCCATCACCAATAACCTTTCCAATTCTGTACTTCTCAAGAAGAGTTGAAGATTCAATGCACCTGTTTCCATTTATGCCTACGAAAGAGGATAAATGCAAAGTTGAAAGAACACACCAACATTTCATCTTGATTCCTATATACTTGTCTAACAATCAATTGCAATGCATTTATTTCTAAATCTATGGTAAAACTATAAGGAAAGTCTCTGAGCATATTGTCTGAATAGAATACCTGAATCACCGATTTTCTTTCGACTTGACTGGTTGGCATCAGAAACCAATATAATCAATAAAGATAACAAATATCTGAAATACCAGCTAAAATAAGCGATTCTTTGTGAAACAAAGAAGTCTAACTAAAACTTCAAACTTTTTTGCCAAATTTGAGAAAGAAGAAGGGGATGATGTTGGGATTTAACCTTAGATATTGTCACAAGATTTCTC